ATCATGGAGCTGAACTTCAACAAAGGTATATTGGATTTTCTGAAAAAAACGGTTTTTTCTGAAAAAAACGATTTTCCATTGTATTTTCTCATTATTTAAGGAAAATAATGCCCTGCAAGCATGACTGTGGGATTTCTTCGTGGAGTGGGTTTAGAGCTAGGAGTCCTGTCTGATCTGGTAGTTTACCATCCCTCAGAAGTTAACAAGGCAAGGAAATAGCTCAACAAATGATCCTTTCCCAATATCTCAAGATGTAGATCCTATGGGGGTGCCTGCTTCTCTACATTTACCCTGCACAGAATAATTTAGACTAAATCACAGAATCACAGGATGGCTAAGGTTGGAAGGGACCACTGGAGATCATCTGGTCCAACCTCCAAAGCACTCAGGACTGTGCCCAGATGGCTTTTGAATATCTCCAGGGAAGGAGAAGTCACAACCTCTCTGGACAAACTGTTCCATTGCTCAGGCACCCTCACAGGAAATAAATTCTTCCCCCTGTTCAGGTGGAACTTCCTGTGTTCCAATTCTGCCCATTGCTTTTCATGCTATTTCTTGGTGCCAGGAAGAAGAGCCTGGCTCCATCTCTGTGACACCTTCCCTTCAACACTGATAGGCGCTGACAAGATCCTCTCTCAGTCATCTCTTCTCCACATGCCTAACTTCTAGAAAGCTAAAGTCCTTGGAGATGAAACCTGTCTCTCATAAGTAATTCCTCAGCTAATGTGCACCTTCCTTACAAATACTTCACATAAACCATATTACTTTAATTCTTTATGAAAAGAAAGTATTCAAAGCTTTCCTAAAGCAAAGACATATGTTATCCTCTAAGCCAATTAGCCAATAAAAGAAAGGAATTAGATCAGCTTGACAAATCCATGTTGATTCTCTTTTACCACCTTCTTATCCTATAGCAGCTAATGAATTGTTTGTTTCATAATTTGTTGAGGTTTCTCTGTATTGACTCAGCTTAGTTGGCTGATTTAAATTTCCTATCTTTTCTTTATTTCTTTTCTATCTACACAATCAAATACCCTATTTGCCCTTTTCAACTCTAAAGAACCCTCTTGATATAGGAGAAGTTCTTGAAGTCCATTCCTAAATGTTCCCAGACTGTTTTCTCTGGACAGCCTGCAGGGGAATTCCCTCTGGTCAAGCATTTTGAATTCACTCACTCAGCGTAAGGGTTCTTTAACTCACACCCGTTGGCTCTGGCCCATCCCCATACCCCAATCAGTGTGACTTTTGCTACATTTATCTAGCACTGACTGTTTTGGTGATAAGAGTCAAATAGGCAATGATGACTCCAACCCTTTGCTCTCCTTCTGTGGTAGTTTTTGTGATAGTTTTCCAGTTTTATTCCTTCTAGTGTTTTTATAGCATATTTATAGGATTTCTTTTTTTCCCCTTGTAGCCACTTCTAGTTTATTCTTTGCCAGGACCCTTCTGATTTCATCCACACGTGCTTTGGTGTCATTCTCTTCTCATTCCTCATCTGCTGCTGCTTGAACTTTCAAAAAACAATTAATTTCTCATTTCAAGGCATTAATGAGGTCTTCACACACTTTTGGTGTTTTTCTTTTGTTCTATTCTTCTCTCTGCCTTAGGAGATCTCGTCATTGCACCTCTGCTCTAATCTCTAAGTCAGTGCTTGCTGGCCTGTATTCCTTTTTCCTTGACTCAACCTACCAATTCCCCGATGTTTCACAGCCAATTAATCCTTCTTCTGCTGTTCCTACTTTCCCTTTTCCATGTGTCTGGGAAGCTGATTAACTCATAGCTTGGTATATGTACTAAGGCTTTATATTCTTCCTGTTTAGCCCTTACACTCCTAGCCCTTGGGCAGAGACATTTCAGATGTTTACCAGATTGCTCCATTCTTCTCCCAAGTGCCTCATTTTCACCTCTATTAAATTTCCCATTTTCCTAACTCACTAACCAGCATGCTGCCTTGGTTCTTGGAAGACTGCTGCGCTGTAAAAAAAATCCAAAGTTTTTGTCAACGCTGTCCATGCTTTCACTTCAAGGATTTGTCTGGGCCACCTGTGCCACCTTCCACAGAGACCAAAGGAAACACAGCAGCCCCTGGAAAGGAGTTAGCAGTGATCCCAGCAATGGGCAGGATTTTTATTTCAGTGATGGCAGATATATGAAAGAAGCAGCAATTAATCCTTCCTGTTTGCCTTCTCTAAGGATATCAAATTGTGTAGTAAACACTGGAGATTTAAACCTCTTTGTGACCCCTTTCACCGAAAATAAATATTAATAACCCCACTTCACAGACGGGGAAACAAACACAGCAAAGCTAAATGGCTTTTTATGGAAATGCCGAGGCAGAGGCAGGAGCTGCCAGAGCAAGCATGGAAACCATTCAGGGAGAGCCGTCAGTCAGGCCTTGAGGAGCAAGGGGGCAGAAAACAGGGTTGTGATTGCAATTACATCAGCTGGTGAGGAGCCAGCCCCTCGGTGCCCAGAGCTCAGCTAGCCAAAGGCTATGGCAGCTTGCTGACACTGGAGTTATTGCCAGAGCATCCAACTGATGATTGTTTTTAGTGGTAGATTTGTCTTCCCTCTCACTGATCCATGCATGAGCTACAAGCAGCTTAATTAAAGGCTAAAAAAGCCCCTGATGCTAAAATAGCTGCCTTGCCATCTTTCTGGAGATGGTGCTAGACTCATAGCAGGGCACTTCTTCCTGCCTTCTCCTTTCTCTCTCACTCCCTCCTGTTCTCTCACTTTTTAAAAGTGAAATAAAAGAAGCAGGAAAAATAAAAGATGAAGAAAGTAGCCACAAACTACTCCATCAACAATAATATGCCCTGGATCTTCCAGGACCTGCCTGAGGATGTGATTCCCTGGAGAGAAAGCCCAAGGCCAGGGATGATAGAGGCTCAAGCCTCATGAAAAGCACTCACAGACCCCAGAGCACAATGCAGCGCTGAGGATACGGACTTGGCTGCCGTTTATGGAGTGGGGAATACAGTGGCAGATTTATTCTACAGTAAAGAGGGTTGTGTCTTGGTAGCACTAATACTGACACATTATCTGGGGACGGAAGAGGATGCACAAATAGGAACAATTCTCCCATTTCTCTGCCCGTGTCTCCCCCAAATGCCCCCTACTCCTATTTCCTCCTGTTCTCTTCATTCCTCTCCTTGCACTGAGTCCTCTCCTTCCTCTCTGATTTATACCTTATTTCTTTAACCTTGTCCTTCATTCTTTCCCAATGCAATTGTATGGATAGGGTTTTTAGTTCTCCAAGATTTTACACATTATCTTCAACTGGAGCCTTATGTCCAGCCCTCTGCCTGAAAAACCATACAAGTGTTTTCAGAGGGTCAAATCCTGCTCTCACTAAAACAGGAGTGAAAGTTTTCACACTGTAAGGGCCAGGCCATGGGACAGGATGGGCTGATAACAACCTGATAGAAGAGGCTTTTAAAATTATCCAGCACAGCTTAAAGAGAAATGTCCTAACAAATCATCACTGCTCATCACTGAAGTGGAAACCAGTGATGGCAAGTTCCACCACACCCCTGCACAAAGTAATTCCAGCTCACCTCTCATCAGCTGAAATCAGTATAGAGCAAACACCTGAGCAGTTTTATATCCTTATTTCCCCACTCCTTATTCCAAAAACATTCACCCACTTTCACTACTACTATATTTGCTGTCTTTATCTCACAATGGAACAGAAACTGGAAGAACAAACAAATTGGTCAAGAGCACACAAGAGATCTGTGGCAAAGAAAGAAATACAATATGAGTGTCCCAGATTGCTGCCAAACAGCCTCTGACTCAGGCTTTGCATCTCTAAGGGATGGATATGGGCAGTGGATCTAGTCCAAGGACAGATAAGACAGGAGATAGCTCTATCACCCACATCTCTGCTGTTTGGCAGCAGCAGAGAAGCAGTGGAGGAGCAGGGCTGCTGTCTTTCCCCCTCCTTAATCTGCTTCCTGCCTGCTTCAAAAACAACCCAGTGCACGGTTGTTTATTATTATTATCACTGTTATTTTCCAGAGTGCTGTAAAACTAGGGGATAGAGCACTCTGACAGCCTCATAACAAACAGCAGATAAAACTAATTAGATTTTGTTCTTCCTTCAGTTTGCTGACTTGTTTCTTTTTTTTTTTTTCTTTTTATTGTTTAATTATTTATTTTTTAGCCCAGAGGTTTACACACACACATACATTTCACTAGGCACTGGCAAGGCATCCTTGGGATCATCACTGGCAGGAAAGGGCTATTGTGGCCGGGAGACCCAAGAGCTGGTGAGGGGCTGAGACAGAGGGTGCAGTGTAGTGCAGGGCTCAGCTCAGCATCTTCCACCCACGTCATGTCAACTGCAGGGGGGAGGAAGGAGAGCACAGCCATTCACAGCCTCCAAAAGAGCCAGCGTGAGACAAAAAGCGTCAGTAAAAAAAGTTAATGTGCCTGGCAGGAGCCCAAAACTGCTGCAGCACTGGGGACCAGGCAGCGCCTCCAAGACAACATCTCTTCTGGCCATGATGGGAATATTTGGCTTGAGTCTCAACCTGACAGCCTTGCTGACTCTTGAGGAAGGACAAAACGCTGGGGAGCAGGGCGACTGCCCTCTCCTCGCTCTCTCCCTCCCTTTCTCGGTCGGCTGTTTCCGAATTCTTTGGGATTAGCTAGCGGCAGCAGGGAAAGGCGCTGCTCTCAGCGCTCCGCGGGCTGCAGTGAGGTGACGGCCCCGGCGCAGGGGACAAGGGCTCCATTCACTGCGGGATACCGAACCAGAATGACAAGTGTGCAAGAATAAACAAGGCCGGAGTTAATCTAAAGTTGTTTTACACTTCGTTTTATTAAAGTCAATGCACTTCCGTTCCTCTGTGCAGAGCCTAGCTCTGCTTAATTACCATGACTCAGGGAGAATTTTAATAGCGCGGAGCGCGCAGTGCGCACGGAGGCATTCTCCTGACCTCTAGAGGTCTGTCAAAAGAAGAAGAGCGTCTGCTCCCTCTCTACAAGTTCCTGGGGAAAAAAAAAAAGGAGGCAGCCCACAAAACTGTTTCTGCTGAAGTTATCCAGGTGCCATTCCAAATGGTTGGTCACCCATGTGTCCCGCTGCACTTCCCCATACTTGGGCAGGGGGTTTCTCCTGCCCGCTGCCTTCTGCAGCACCCTCACTTGCTGACAAGTTATTGGGCACAGGCATGGGATGCTGGCAGGGAGAAAAGAGTGATCAGGTCTTTGACACCACACAGCAGCATTTATGCAGGTGTGGTTGATGTGCAGGGACACTGCTCCCAGCTCAGCTGCTGCATCTGGATCCCAGACACCAAAAACACTCTGAGGACCTCTGCCATCTCCCCACCTCCTGCAACTCCTAGCACACATGGAAGATACATCTTTTATTATATTATTTCTGAAATGGTGCTACTGCTCATACACATTTGGCTCCAAACACACATGGAAGATACACCTTTTATTATATCATGACTACTCCTGCACAGTTTAGTCACCAGCACAGAATTCTCCCACAGAACTGAATTCCTCCCACCTTAAAAAAACTCAGAATGAAACAACTAGAAAGCCAAATATTATAGCCCAAATATTTGCATCTCATTAAGGAAAATGCTGATTTTAGAAAGACTTCTTTGCAATAGGGTTTACCACTGGCAAACCTTGGTAAGCACCCTTCAGCCACTCTGGTGGCAGTGTTGGTACAGAAAGCAAAGTGGGTGCAAACATGCATGACACAGATATGTACAACAGTATTTTTCACCCTGTGTTCTGGGGATGTGCTGTGTGCTGAACACCCCAGAGCATGGCTTTTGTATGCTGCCATCAGTACCTAGCACAGTGTCAAGCTTTTGTCATGCCAACAAACACCGGATTTTTAAGTTAATTATACACATACATTGTTTCTTTATTAATAAGCTTTGAAGCAGTATTATACAAACTATTATAATGGGAACACCTGTTTCACCTCTTTTGTGTCCCTTCCTGTGAGCCACCCTTTCATTAAAATTCAGTATTGTGTGCAACAAGCTGCATGCTAAACCAAGCAGAACAGGACATCTGTACAGAGGCACACACCACACCTAATGAATTAGTCTGGGCTAAGAAGCTCAGCTTCTAAGGACCCAAGCTGCCTGCCTTTTGAGCAGCATCCTAGAGAGAGAGAGAGACACAGGGAGCTCTTATGTGCTAGGGAAGATTTGAAGATGCGTGGATGCTGAAAACCAAGCAGAACAGAAAGAAGCTTTTTATCTAAAGAGCAACCTCCTGCTGGAAAATAGTCTAGGTGGTCTGAAGAAAGGTGCTCAGAAACACATCAGAGTATTTCATGTTCTGCACTAGGAACTCTCTTCGAAACCAGCATAAAACCAGGAAGATGACATGGTGCTTGTAATAATGCATCAATATTAATAATAATCATCACTGGTAATCACTGGAGTCCTTGCAGGCTGTAATGCTACACACACTCAGCACATTGTCCTTGAGCCTCACAAAGCAGTGACAGAGTTGGGAGCGTCTTGCATCTTAAAATTATCTGGATTCAGGGCAATTCCCCATTTGCAGCAGCAGAGTCTAAGACACTTGGCAAGATCAGGCAATGTGAAGTGTGAGCTGAAGTGACATGGCTTCATGCTTTAGAGATACAGAACACATGTGTGGGTTCTCTGTCTGTGCTGGATTCTCAGGAACTGGGAAGCAATTTTAGGAGAAATTTAATTTTTCTCCATTTGGAGATTAAAGAAACTGTTTCTGATTGATGCTTGGGCTAAATTCACTGCAGGGTTTTGCCATTTTTGCCACCATCACTAATCTATTGGTGAATTTAGCTCAGGTTTCCAGAGGATCACAATGAATTGTCACTGCTGCTGTCCTTACTGTGGCACATTGGATTTCCCATGCTGTTGCTGGGACACAACCATCTCAGAAATATGCACAGCCTGACCCAACCTGTTGAATGCAGTGTAAAAATTCTGATCAGACAGAAATCAGAGACATGCTCTACAGCTCAAGAGAGAATGGCAACAGAGAGCTCTGCTGAAAGGCATCAATAACTGTCACTTCTCCAGGCAAAGGCTGCCTAAAGTAAGAAAAAGAGAATCATCTCTGATTCCTTGGTCTCAGAATACTGTTCCTTAGGTCAATCTGTATGAAACCATGAGGCAGCCATGAAGCTGGGGTTATGTTTAGGAATGGATGATCTCACATGGTACCACCTGGGCTGGTGGCCCCTCGCTCTGCCTTGGGTACAAAGTGTAAGGAGTCGTTCTCAGCAGATGTATGTATACAAATTACACAAACAGACAGTCAGCTCTCCATTCAGAACCAGGAGCAACACATCTGGGAAGGGTGCTGAAGCTGGCAAACAGGCAAACACGAGCAGTGACCCATTTTCTTGCTGCTCCTCAGGTCGCAGCCTTGATCACACAGGACTGCTCTCAAACCCACGGCACAGGCCGAGTGCTGGTGAGCCTAGAGGAAGAGCTGTGCTGTTGGGTGCTGGCTGGCTGGAAATGTAGAGCCCCCTCAGAGCCCTGGAGCTGCATGTCTGTCCTGTGGTCACTCCTTCATCTTCTGTCTCGCCTTCCACACACGAGAGGCACTCCTGGATCTCCTGGTCTAGCTCCAAGAATTCCTCTTCACCATCAGAGCTACTGGCAGTGTCATAATCAATCTCTTCTGCACAAGGAGGTTCATCATCAGACTCCAGGCTGCTGTTACTGCACCTTCTGCAGAAAAACCACAAGAGAGACTGGACGTCACCAAAGGAGGAGGTGTTCTCAGGGGGAAGAGCAAGCAAGAGGGAAATGGTTTTTCTGGGTTCAACCTTGGCTCTGTTAATAAGGGATGAGGTGGTACTAAGCAAGCTCTGCTGTGTCTTTGTGTCTGTCTCACCAATGAGAGTGATAAAATGAAGAGGGATACTCACTGACCTCTCAGGAGTAAAGCATTATCATTCCCATCACTATTACTGTTATTGCTAATACAGAAACAGACTGGTTTACATACAGACAATACCATTCTTGCCTTGAGGCACTAACAAAGGTTGCAGAAGCTGAAATACAGCAGAGAAGAAGGTATTCAGTATCCAGAAGGTTGCATTCAGTTTTCAAAAGGGGTTTAATCATCATCCCCTTCGCTGTAGTTCCATATTTAGTGTAAGACCTAATTAATCCAGGTGGTTGAAGTACTTTGGCATCTTTTCCTCCTGTTCTCTGGATGCTCAGAGCATTGCTAACAAGAGGCAGCACAAACACAAAACTGAGCCTCTTGGATCTTCAAGCACACTGGCTGCAGGGAGGGCAGAAGCACCAGGAGAGGGTGTTTTGTGAAGAACATGGAAAGGTTTTGACAGCTTGACTTCCTGGGAAAGGGCCAAACTCAGAGTCAAGCCTGAATGGATGAGGAAAGACTCTAAGGGGATGCCACAGCCACATAATCTGGCTCTCAGAAAGGCAGGTTACCCCACCTTGGCCTCCTGCCATTTACTCAAAGGAATGGCCACAGGGGCTTTTCTTGCATGCCCACTTTCAATGCACAATGCATGAGGTTTGCCTGATGCAATATTTATGGCAGAAAAGTGACCACTAGACTAGATGGCTCTGGGGGTCCTTCTCCTCCCAGGCTGTCTGCATCCCATCTGGCTCTCAGCCCATCAGGGCAACTGGGCAATTTTTTGAGACCAGAAAGAAGCCTGTGTGATTTTAGTGCTGTCTCAGTCACAGTCTGGATGAATCAGGGGAAGAAGAGATACTGCATTTTTCACCTCCAGGTCAATGTTTTCAATCAGACTCAGAGCAGGGGGATGTATTGCTTTGGGGGACAGGGAAAGGAATAATAATATTCCACCGCTGGGCCAGAGTTTTTTCATTTGTCTCGAGCTGGAAGAGTGAATGGCTTGGCAGATGGAGCATACACAGCTTTAAAGTGTGGTCTGCTCACTTACATGCCAGTAACCAGAATAATCTTCCAGCTTTCAGCTGTTACACAGCACGGCCAGCAAGTGATGTTTCAGAACATACCAAAGGTGCAAAGTATTGCTTTTGGGTGTATTGATCTCTCCCCTCTTCTGCGCTCCAAGAAAGGTGTAAGATTTTCCTAGGTTTGAGACTCCAGATCTTAACTGCAGAGAATTCTGCAGCAGAAACAGGCAGTGTCAACCCACATCTCCTTCTCAGGCTGATCTCTGGCTTAGTTTACTTCAAAGGCTGGGTATAAAGGATTTTCTGAAAGCTTAATAGAGCTGTACAGCTTAAAAATAAATAAAAGAATAATTATGCACTTTTACAGTTTCTGGCTCTACTTCAGTCTGCTCAGAAATCTGGGTCAGGAAGAACTCATACTGAAAATGAGGATGTGACATGAAACAAAACAAACAAACCAGGACAATCCTCCCAGCACAAACAGCAACAGTGATGGTCCCAGCAGAGTTTGACCAGTGGGTTTGATTTCTTCTTTTAATTTCCATATGCAGGCATTGCATGAATTACCATGATACTGAGTACCTATGATAATGTTCAAAGCTGACTAAACCCAGGGGAACTGGAATTTTCATTTATAAGCCCTGCTCTTGCAGATTTGCAATCAAAAAGAACCAAAGCATACCTACTTTCAATGTTGCACTTGTACATTTTTAAGGAGCTGCTAATGCCATTGGGACAGAACATAGCTGTTACCCAACTCACTGATATTTTACAGATGGAGAAGCTTGCAGCCCAGGAACTGAAGGTCAAACATTTGAATTAACAGGATAATTGGGGGGAAAAAAGGTCCCTATTATTACTTAAATCTGGGAAGCCAAATAACAGGATCTTCTGAATTTTTCAATAATTTAAGTGATTTTAGGACTGTGTTTCTGACAAAAAATGGAAAATGGAAAAAAATGGAAAATGCCTCCTACCACAAAAACATTTTGCTAATGAAGGGAAGTCTGGAAGACAACAAACAGAGAATGAAAGGCAAGAAGTACAAAACTACCATTTCTTTAAATTGAAGACTGAAGGGATATTATTTAGGAAGCAAGCATTTATTCATAAAACATTTGCCACCATCACAGGTCTCATAGTGAGCTACCAAACAGCAAAGGGATAGCACCAACCTCCCCCTGCTGCCAGCACAAGCTGCAGTCACACTGCTGACTTCAAAGTTGAGAGGATCTTCATCACATTAACAAACTCTACAAACCAGTTACATCTCTGCGCTGTACAGAAATTTACATCCCAATAATTCACTTTCTGCCTCATGAAGATTTAAAACACATTAAAAAGCAACACAAATGGGCTGGTTCCTAGCAGCAGGTTCTTCTGAAAGAGGAGAGGTGGCAGCTTGTGGCACGTGGAGGGGCCAGCCATTTCCACCAACCAAGTGCCACTCCTTGCATGTGCTTCCTCACATCAGAGACCTTCCATGCAAATGGTGATTGCTAATATCTATTGACTATTGCATTCTTCCCCAACAGAGTTTTGGGGGTTTGTTTGTTTGTTTTTAATCTGATCTTTAAAAGCTGAAAAAGAATTAGCGTGACAAAAAAGGAAACAAAAACCAAAAGCGAAACAACAACAAAAAACCTACCCAGGAGACATGGAACATATTTATCAAAGAATAATGATGTTGTCTTGCAGAAGGTAAACAAAGAGGAAAACCAATGACACTACATTATAGAAATTCAAGACAAATGTAGAGTATGAATACCACTGAACATGAACATAGAGCAGAAGAGAGGGGGGAAGGCTGATAAATATATTCTACAGCCAGCAGTCCCCCAGCTTTCACTATAAAACATGGACACATTTGGTTGATCTTCAAAACCTATGGCCTCATAGCCCCCATCTATTCCAGCTGATGGGAACCACAGCAGCAATTTGCAACTTCATGATGTGATAAATAGAATTTCTTTGTTTTGATTTTTAATTTGCATATTTACTCAGATATGACTTAATCTTAATTAGTTCTCCTTTTCTATGTGGGTGTGTTTTTTTGTTTGCTCAGTTTTGGGAAGCAAGCAAGATTTGGTTCCCTGTAAAATAATTCAGGGTTTTTTTGCTGGCTTAATGGGAGGAGAAGGAGATGGGAGCCCAGTGCCTCCTTGCACAACTGGAACTTTGTGGTATGATTGGGAAACACTTCTTTTAGGTGCCTGCTGCCAACCCCTCATTCTGAGTCAGCCTGCTAGGACACAGCTGGAGAGAAAGCTCTCATGTCAGCTGTCCTGCTGAGCCACACCTCAGAACACACACTCTGCAGCTGTGGTGATAAACTAGAGCTGCACACTGCACATGGGCATGAGTGGCATCTCTCCTCCATACTTAATTTTCATCTACTCATACATGGAAAAAACTAGAGAACCCCTGAGTAATTTCTAGTGATTTTTCACTCACATTTTGCATTTGTGGCAGGTCACTCGCTCTCTGTGTATTCTGCTGGCTGGCTCAAAATAGCACCTTTCATTTCTTCTGCTGGAAAGAACGGGCACTGACAACTGTCCCTCTTAGGGAATCTGTGGCTGCTGCTCAGGGTTTCTGCTTGACCTTCACTTGACAGCCCTCACAGTTGCAATGCATTACAGAAGGAAGTGGAGCATTTACTTTTCTTTCATATTGCTCCTCTCACTGTTGAATTTTGTTGCAGAGACAAACTGGAAGTTGGGAGGGTTTAAATGCATCACATAAAAAGGAGGAAAAAGCTGAGGCTGGAGATCACTGCTGGTCATGGTCATACCAATGATTCTCTCTGAAGGATGTATCAACAAACAAGCAAACATGTCCTCAGCCTCTCTCAGCAATGAAAAATAACCTCCCAGCATAACCACCCTGCCTGTAACCCTATTTTCTCCTTGTGTTAAACCTTCTCTCCATCATGGCATGTCCCAGTTATTTGGAAGCTGCCCAAAGCAGGGATGTGGCTGTATATAATGAGCCAAGCACATCTCTGATACAGTTCATAGACTAAATAAGGCAGGAAATAGCTTTACTGAAATTTTTCAAGAGATGAGACATTCTTGTGTGTGGACAGAAAACAGAAAAAAGATTTTTATGTGATTAAACAGGTCAAATTGTCCACAATTACAGCATTCACCTGAACGGCGTGTCTTTTCCCCACTCAGGCAGGGAGTGGATAGCCCAGAGAGTTCCCTGACCACAATTATCACCGATGCAGAAAGGGAATTGCCCATTCTTTTCCAAAGAAGTTTTACCTATTGTATGAACAGTTACCAGTGCTGGTAAATAATGTGTCCTGAAGCTTTAAAGATATGCTACCCTCTCCACAGGAATTTGGAATTGCCTTGCCCTTCTGGCTTTCTGACATTAAAATTCCATCTACATCACCAAATCTAAAAGGGATGTGTGGTCCTGCACTGTTTTGCTTTTGAGGAAACCATATGTTTTATTAAAAGCAGGAACACTGCTTCTGAAGGCTTGTAATGAATCTAAAATGAACCTTAAGCAGACACATTTGCAGTAATCCCAGAGTACAATTCTGCCTTTAATTGCTTCAATAAAGTAGTATTTTAGGACATAAATGAAACAACTATGATGCTTGCAGGTAATTACACCTGTAAGAAATACACTACAGCAACAAGATGCCAGCAAGGAAGGGCTTTAATTTGCCCTTTGTGTCTAGATTCGGTTGCTACAAGATGCCTTGCACACCTTATAATGACTTTCTAATTTCTCCTTGGCTGCTCAGCAGCTCCCCAGACAGCAGCCTGGCACTCTCCTGCCTGAGGAAT